TCAGGAAGCCAGTTAGCGGAAGGGCTGATTTGCACCCATCGTGGGGTTGGAGGGCTTATTTGCCACCTTTTTAGTTCAGGGGCTTATCACTTGCTGTCGAAAAAGTTGAGGGGCTTAAGATGGGTTTTTGCCAAAACCAAATATCAAGAGAAGTAAATCAATGAGTTCCGTGCTTTCGAACTTGTCGGTGCGGGATTGTTCCCTTTGCTCGAGCTTCTTGTTGCGTGAGGCTTTCGCTCGAGGGCGACGTTGCTGATTGCACGCTGGGTTCTAACATGCCATCACGCAACAGTGAGCTCTGGGTTTGTGCCCGACGATGAAACCCAGTGCTGTACCAAACTGGTTTCTGCTGTTAACATACCTCTGAGATGAGAATAGGAGAGGAATAGAGGGTGAAAGAGAGAAGAGAAGAAAGGAGGAAGATGGGATCTGATCGATAGATTTTGATCGAAGAGGAAGATAAAGGTAAAAAATAGAGGGGGAACGGACCTAGGTTTTTCGATTGGGTTGTCTAAGAACTCACGAATCTGTATACGATGAGGGTTTTCCCCTTTTTTTTTTTTTTTCATATTCATGCACTAATGGATTGATTGTGTTCGGGGGCGAAGAGACAACGGGCCGGGGAAGGAGACGAGGGCATAAAAGTAATTTACTTTAATTTAATAAATAAATTAATTTAAATTAATTTAAATTAATTACAATGGCAATCGTGTAATAACGATGCTTTAAGCTCCACGTGTAACTAAAACTGTGTCCACGTCATTATTTTTTTCATGTGAATTTTCCATGTCATTTGTGAAAAAAAGTTAGTGTTTTCCATATTAATTAACACGCAACATCAAAAAATTAATAAAAGGATTAAAAAGAGTTAGAAAAAAGGATTTTTTTTATTTTTTGTAATAGAATTTTGTATAATGAAAATAGAAATATTAGAGATAAAACTCATGATGAGTGATCACGATACCTTGATCAGGATTATTGTAGTTGGTGGCAGAATGGGCATGATGGTTCGTCCATTTTTCTTAATGGTAATAGAAGACAAGAATTAGCCCGTGGCATAAGCATATTTCGAATGTGCCTCTTAACCTAACATGATTAACATCTGAATCAACAAAGGTGGAAAACTATAATCAGAAAGAATGAAAGAAAACTAAAAAAGGTTACCTTCCTCTTTCTCAAATGGACAATCTCATCCAGACGAAAACAGGTTAATATGATAGAATTTTGTAATAAAAATAGACATAAAATATAAGTTTATATAAAGTAATATTGATTATCATAATGTAATATTAAAATAAAATTTTTTATTATTGTTCAATAAAAATAATCTAATATATTGTTTTTTATTGTACATTTTCTAAAGGGCCAATCTCTAAATTTAATCACAAAAAGGAAAAGTGAATGAACTCTCATTCGGGGTTTTTAGAGGTCTTAAGCCCTATACAAATT